ACAGTGTCACTTCCTTTGCCACCCAGGCCAGCTTAGAGCCTGTGGCAACCTTTGGGTTTTATGCTCTTGGCATCGATAATGAAGAATTCCTTTTTTTTTTTTTTTTTTTGGCCACACCACACGGCTTGCAGTATTTTAGTTCCCCAACCAGGCGCTGAACCTGGGTCCTCAGCAGTGAAAACGCAGAGCCCTAACCATTGGACCACCAGGGAAGTCCCAATAATGAAGAATTCCTTATTTGAGGATTTACAACTTTCTCATGAGCAGCCTTCTTGCTCACTGCAGTAGAAAACTTTGCTAGAGATTTAGACCTGGATTTAAATCTTGGTTTCAGTTACTTGACCTGAGCCTTAGTTTTCTTATCTGGAAATTGGGATCATGATGTCCAATAAGGTTGTTGAGGATTAATGAGATAATGTTTATGAATATCACACAACATATTTTTCTTCTTTTAAAAATATCTACATGGTGGGCCTTAAATTAACTAAACCTCCTCCACACCTGCCTCTGTCTTTCCATTGTTTTATTGCCACAATAATCCAGATGCAAGTGGAAAAGTCTGAACTGTGTCCCAGAGACAAGAGAGATGAAGACAGGGTTCTGGGCTTCATTTTTTTCAAAAAGTCACATAAGAAAGTATAAGATGAATTTGATCTTTTAAATAAACCTGTGGTGAAACCTTGCTTCTTTTATTTTAGCAGTGGTGGTGACAACATTTAGAAGTAACTAGAGAGATTTAGAAAGGGCAATGAAGACAAATATCCAACTGGAGAAAAATAATTGCAGATATACAACCAACAAAACTAGTTTCATTAATATGCAAATAGCTCTTTTACGTTATTAAGAAAATAATGAATATATATTTTTAAAAGACAAAACATGTGAGCAGAAAATTCACAAAAGAAAGAATTCACAATGCCAGTCAATAATTCAAAATGTTTAACCTACACAAAGGAAAGAAACCAAGTTTAAAAAATGAGCTGCCACTTTGACCTATGAGGTTGGCAAAGATTAATTGTACATAACATAAGACACTGGTGACAGTGACACCCACCTGTTGATTTATGTGGAATTTGGAGAGAAGTTTTAGGAAGTTAATTTGCTAATATCTTTGGTAATCAAAAACTTAAATCCTTAGAACCAGCAATTCAAACTCTTCTTAGAATGTGCCAGTTAACAGTCTTCCCTGTTTTTATAATATAAATGTATCTAAGGACACTCAAGAAATGTTAATAATGGTTACTTTTGGGGCATGGAGAAGAGAAGAGATGTTTGCTTTTCATTTTTTCCACTTTTGTACTGTTTGAACATTTTTAAAATCAGGTATTAAAATTGTTTTCTAAACATAACAGCATGCTTAACAATAAAAGAAATCTTACCTCTGGTCTTATGGTCTCCCCAAATATTTTGTTTAATAAATGAACCATCAATAAGCAGATGCAATATGAGATGTTTTCTTAATACATTGCCTCAAATATCAAGTATACTCATTCAGCAGAATGATCTCGCTGGACCTTACTGGGTTGTCTGCCCTGTGGCTGTGTACTTAAGAAACCTGCTGTAGACATGTTCTCCTGCCCCAGAGCCTCACTCCTGCCCATCCAGTCTGACTGTCCCAGGCCCATAGATGCCATCCTCCTTCACACCACATCACACACTCTCTGCTCTGGGCTTCTGGGGTGTCCCGGAAGGTTGAGAGTGTAGGTAGGACCTGGGCCAGGAGTAGGATAGGAGTAGGTAGGGATAGGAGAGGAGCTACATAATCAAAGGAGTAATAACAGTGACAGCAGCAGCTGTTTATTGATGGCTTACAGTATACCTATATATTCACATAATGTGTTCTGTATTTCATGTAAGCTCATGACCCCTGGGAAAGTCAGCATTATGAGCCCTGTTCTGCAGCTGAGGTGGCATGCTCAGAGAAGCCATACAGGTAATGAAACAGCTGAGATGGAATTCAAAGCAAAGCATGCTGCTTCTCTGTGTGAGGGCCTCTCATGGGTGGTGTAGAGGCAGGCACTAGGGTAGGGGTCCATCCACTGTCCCAAGGGGTCACCTTAGGATTTAGCTCCAGGAGTCATGATGCTGGGCCTGCCTCAGAGATATTGGACTCTGGAAGGAATAAAGTCTTTGGCTATGGTAGTTTTGATCATGTGTGTTTGTGGAGGGAGCATCAGGGAGGAGAGATGCAGAGGAATGTCTGACCTGGTGGAGTCTGAAAAGAATGACATTCCTTCCTGGGAACGGACTTATCAGCAGCACTGTATTATTTGTGGTTTCCCTTCAGTCCATCAGCAAATACTGCAAAACCACCATTCTTGATGGAGCTGTCCTCTCCAGTGAATCCAGCTGGGCTGGCCTTAAATCATGACCAACCAGGGGCAGCCTCGGCAGCCTCAATCCCCCACAGTTGCCGATTCAGCAGATTCATGTGTCCTGGGGCAGAGTGCTGATGCAGGCAGTTCATCTTTGATTTTCCTTTTCATCCCCCATGACAGCCACACATAGTTTTC